AAAAAAAAAAAAAAAAAAAAAAAACTTTTAAATTTTAACCAATTGCTGACTATATAATTGATTAATCGATTTATCAACTAATCAATTAATTGATTTATCAATTAATTGATTTATCAATTAATTGAATAGGATAGTTTTAAAAAATAAATTAATTAATTGTCAACTTGTTCAATAATCGATTTTTCAACTTTCACTAGCTATCATTATATGCAGCTATGCAAAGCGACATAGCAATATGCATATAATTTGGGGTGGAGTCAATAGAAATGAGACAAATTTATTAGATAAATTTGTCTCATTTCTATTAACTTCACCCCATTTATTCAAATAAATTTATTAACTATGTATATCAATAGCTTTAAACAATGAAATTTAATATTAGTATTATTTTAAATATAAATTACCTTTAAAACAACATATATGCTTGATGCTCTTTATGTTCTTTTTAACTAATATTTATGCATAACATACTCTTTGTAATATTCTTTTTAAATAATTAATGACAGTAGGCAGTACAATATGATGCACTGTTTATATAGCATAAATTATCGTTTGTATAATTACGAAAAATTATATTCGATCTATATTCGATTTTAAAGTATGCTTTATAATTTTCTTTATATGTTCAGAATTATATTCAATAATGCATTAATATCGATCGTATTTGAATTAAAGAAATCTTTGTAAAAAAAAAAGAAGCCTGTATATTCTTTGTATGATTTAACTGAAATTTAGAAGTTATATATTGAGCGTATTTGAATTAAAGAAATCTTTGTAAAAAAAAATCATTCTGTTCCATTATATGATGAGTTAAAAATTATAAAAGCAACTCAATGAAACATAAATCTTATAATTGATTAATATTGGAAAACCTTACAATCAATCTATATCAGAAAATCTTGTTTATTAAATAACACTTTTTTTTTTTAATAAATATATGCTAGAAATGTGACCATTGTAATGGAGAAATTTCTAAACCTTATACTTTGTTGTAACACATATCACTAAGACATTCTAGAAACCCTAATAATACATCTATATCAGAACTGACTTCATGACAACTATATAATCTTGATGATAATATTTAGAAATTGTCAAAAGATCCTAATGATATATCTATATTAGAATCAACTTCTCAACAATTGTATACTCTTGATACTATTTGGAATCTGTCAGAAGAACCTGATAATGATCTATTGGTAAATAGCATCAAAGTTTTAAAATATGAAATATCAACAGGAATAAATCACAATTTTTAACTATGTTTTTAAATTTAGAACCAAGAAATATTACATATAATAGATCCAGATTTTTTTGATCCAAAATTTTTTTCGAAACAATTACAATCAATAGTAAGTAAAACTTATGAATATCCATCAAGAAACATTTTAGATTATTCTGAACAAACTTTATTTCCTTCATCCTATCCTCAACCTATTGAAAGTAATAAGTTAAAATTTGAAAATATGCCAATTGATAAAGAAGATTATAATGGAGCATTACTTGGAGATGCTTACAGAGAACTGCACTATCCAGATAAAGTACAATGGCCCAGTAATGCTTATTAAGAATTTATGAAGATTACTACTAAATATTAGCTTTCAGATAAGGCTGCCAATACTTTTATATGTTTTTTTAAAAAATTTTCTAATTTGAAAGAATTATCTTTGCCTTCATCAATGCGTGCTAGAAAAGAATTTTTGAATAACACAAAAATTCAATATACAAAATTTAAAGAAACTTAATCACAACCTTCTAAGGTGTCGAATATATACTCTATTATCAGCCAATAATTTAGGCTATTAAATCATTATTAGTAGTTAATAATATTAATCAAAATCTGGTATTAAAATATGCTGAGAAAAATGAAACAAAAGATGGTATAAATTCTCAAATATTTAAAGAACAATATAATTGTAATTGGTGGTAGTAAGAAGAATTAAAACTATCAATTGGCAAGTAATTGCTTTCAATAATTCTCTACTTTGATGCTACGACCTTAGATTATTTGAGAAAATCTTCTGGGCACTCAATATTTTTATCTCTTGGCAATATTCCAAATTTTCAGAGAAATAAGCCAGAATCAAAAGCATTAATTGGATACTTACCAATATTAAAGGCAAAAGATACAAAAACTAAAAATTCTGAAAGTTTTAGAATATTGCAAAGATCTGTTTTTTAGAGATACTTATCGATCTTTTAAAGTCTATAATTGATAGACCAAAGCTTCATTTCGTAGTTCGACAAAACATAATGATATTTATTCTGCAAATTTTGGTAATCTTAGCTGATATGGTTGAGGCCAATATGATTATGAACATTTATCAGTTATATTTAGCACAAAAACCATGTAATACTTGCTTAATATCGAAGAATAATTTGAATGATCTGAATATAAATAATATAAAAAGTTAACTAAGAAATTATCAAAATTGATACAGGTAATTAATACTAGCCAGTCTCAAGAAAATTCAATCTATGATGAACCAAATATATTCTGGCAAATAAAGTAATGCATAATTGAAATTTTAGTGTTAATTATAAAATATACAGTATAACTAACAATATTTCTAATTACTTAGCAATTTCAATATTTATCAAATAACAGTGCCAGATCAAATGCATATATTAGATCTTGGCTTGTTTAAGTATATGCTAAATTATACAAAAGATCTTTTAACAGATCAATATAAAAACAACATTATTCAAATCTTTAAACAATGCTTGGCAGAGATTCCTAGATTTCATGGACTCAAAGTAATAAAATATGAATGTGATATGACACGTATGACTGCTAATGACTTGCAAAATATCATCAAGATTATTATTTTTGCTCTTGATAATCTTTATAGCACATACAAAAAGCCAGGAATTAGTAATAAACGTTTATGTGAAGTATTTTACAAGTTTCTCAAAATGTACCTGGCTACTCGTGAAAACTTTTTTACAAACGAATCTTGTTCTGAACTTCAGATATGATGAACATTATTAAAGCTTATATATTTCTACATATTCTATACATTTTAAACACTTGTTACTGACTCATTATGAGTTGGACCAAAGATTTTGTTGATATCTTTACTCCCTATTCTCCAAGTGATATGTAACACCAAAACTCCATACGTGGTACTATCATATTGTGCCTGTAATAAAGGAATATGGTGCAATAAATAGTCTTTCAACAAAAACTTATGAAACTTTACATAAGTATTATATAAAAAATCCTTATTGTATGACCAATAGAAAAAATTTTATGAAGCAGATTGTTAAAATAGTAATTATCTACTAAATTAATTACTTATCTCAAGAGTTACTAATAATATTGTACTGCATTTTAGATTAAATGACAAAAATTAGCAGATAAAGATATAACTAGTAAATATCGAAAAGTAGAAGGATATAAAAATCTTTTATAGAAATTTTACTTAATAGATATAGATGACTTCATTGAAAATAATATGAGAAATTACATTAGCTTCAAATCGATGGACTCTGAAATTTATTAAATGGTCTTGATGAATATTTTGAGAAATATTTTGAAGAAGAATCAATTTTTTCAAGTGGTGATCTAATTGAGATATATTCTTCCATTTCTGTTGAAAGCACAGATATTATACATGCTACAAAAGTTTTTATAGAGAACCAATTTTTTTAAACATGTTAGTAAGTAGTACAGAAGAAGAAAGCGAAGTAATTTGATATGGTCAGGTAAAAATAAAATTTAATATGTATTGTTTAAATATATTACTGTAAATAAGGCAAACTTATCTAATTAATTAAAATCGATATAAAATAAGGCTTTATTACTTTTCAAGAATTACAGACACGAAATAAAAGAACTGTATAACCTTATTCTAATTCATTGGTACAATATATTTGAAGAAAAAGTATGGGGATGCTTTAAAGTAGAATTAATTGATCATTATAGTTGTATACTAGTAGAAAGTATAGATAAAACTGTTTATGTAGTTTCAAGATTTGGTAAAATGAATGAATATCTAATAAACAACTATATATTTTAGTTGTACAAAAAAATGGTACACAATAAAAATCATTCTATCATGTGATAAAAAAATTCACTATATAAATAGCAAATATCATCTCATTTTTTTCTTTTTGATCCACCTTAAACTTGGATATTACAATATTTAAAAATAAAGTGATATTTTATTCAAGTTTATTATAATTTCAAGAATGAATTGCAATAATTTTTTTAAGATAATTAGATGCTTAATCAGAAGGTTATATATTTCAGAAATTGCATAGTATTTATTAATAATTTAAAGAACAATCTTTATATAAAATATCACAGGGCAGATTTTTAAAAGCTTTTGTCACAAGAAGTTCAGCCAAGTAAATTCTAAACAAATGATTTAATTATGTATATAAGAACTATACTGTTGTATATTAACCAAAAGATCCAAGTATATAGTATGAGGTACTTTGTACAGTTTTATATATGTAATTCAGAAATCAGTATATGATAATATGAAAATGTCATTTAAGAACAATTACATGTAATATTTTAACTAAAAAAGAGATACTTTGGTTAATACTATGGTAATAACAACATATCTTTTATGAATAGCAATACATCATTATAAATTAATCTTTTGAGAAAAAGCTTTTTTTTACTATAGGATTGCTAAGATATTGTGGAAAAGCTTTTAACGTGATGAAAAATTATAAAGATAAATTATTAATAAATTCAAATTCAGTATAAGCAACAAACTCCTACGAATTTGTCTGTTTAATGAACTCAGGTAATGATCTTCTATTTATTAAAGCATAATAATTTATTGCTTATATTCATTAACATTATATACAGTGAACACTTAATTCTTAGTTGATATATTGGCAAAAAGAAATGTAAATTTCTTGCAAAAAAACTTTGTAGCATTTTACTTTCTTAAGTTGATATGAATTTTCTTAACAGCCCAGTTCTCTACCTATAGCCACCAGTAGTGCTGGACATATGATTAGATCTAATAATAACATTTACAGTATTTTAAAAAGCCAACATATTGGTAGCTACTGTCTACTTTTGTATATTATTAACCTATTGGTCCTACTAATATCTATTGTTAGATATCAGTGATAAATGCCTACTGGTAGCTACTAACTCATACCACTATTTTTGAGTATTTATTTTTCTTTAGATTCAAAATGAAGATTTGTACTAATTCTTTTTTTTTTTAATATTTCACGAACTTGCCTTTAAAAGATCGATAAGTATCTCTAAAA